GACAAACGTGTACTGAGTCACAGAAAGAACACGGGACTCTGGTCTCTGTCACCTGATAACGATGACGGGAACTCCCACCCACTGCTGCCACTGCCCCATGGATGCTGGTGAGGAACAAAAACCAACAGGCATGCCCAGGGAAGGATGATTTATTTGCAGAATCAGGTCTCAGTTTCCTGCCTCCTCCTTGATATGAGGATTCCCCACTAAAGGGAAGGGGTGTCAAAACCAAGCTCGAGGTCTGTACAGAGCAGTGGGAAGTTTTCCTCACATTTGTCAGAACATGGATTCAATTTGAAGAGCAGACCAAACATCTGCTCTCAGAGGACACCTGGGGTTAAAAATCAGGAGCAATGCTGGTGTGAGCCACTGTGGGAAACACATCCTGTGTGAGTGAATCCCCTTGACCCAGTCTGTTCTGTTAAATTCTGAGTGTCCTGACTTCTCACACAAATACACCTCAAGTATTTCTCTGAGTAGCACCTACATTTCATGTAAGTCATGGGAAAAGCAATTAAACCCCTATTAGCTAAACCATGACTTTAGACTCCCAATTAAGTACATCCACTTCTGGGCAATACAGGTGTTTCACTGGATATAAAGGATTTGAACAGCCCACCCACAGGGATGGAATTGTGAATCTATAAGACAACTGTAGCACAGAACTGCCTCACACGTGACATGAGAGAGAACTAGGTTTTACTGCAGATTTCTGCACTATTTTCAGAGATAAACTTATCTTCATGCAAAACATCACCTAGAGAGTACTAGTTAAACCATGACACAGCTACAAATTCTCCTAAATAGATGAAAAACACGAGGATCTCTGGAAGAGATCTGACAACCTTACAAATAATAACCTTTTCACCTAAAGCTGGATCCAAAAAGCTTTATTACAATAATGCTTTTTTTTCCCCCTACACACAATGGAAACCATCATTACCTGACACACTTCAATTAAATATCACACCTACTAATCTGATAAAAATTCAGCTTTCTAAACAAGAGCTAAAAAGAGAATATAAAGAAATATTAAATGTAAATTATTGAAACATAGATTAGTTCTTCCAAACTGGGAATCTCTGAGCCAGCTACACTAAAATATGGATTTTAAATCCACCACCATTAGCTACTTCAAACTAATTCACTTTCTCATGGAATTAAAGCAGCTCCAAGCCTCTCACCCACAAAGCTGGCACACACTCCAATTCAAAGAAAATCATTCCTTTTTCTTGTCCCAATACAATTTCCACACCAGCTTTAGAGGAATCCAGTGACTTTTATGGAACTCCCTGTGAAGGCAAACCAAGGCCAAAGGGGTTCAGACCCACTCCTGCCCATCTCAGATCACTGTGGAGCTGCAGGCAGCACGTGGAACTTCACTGCACCACAAAAAAACCTCCTGTGAGCCCCCTCCCTCCCACCTGTGGTGGGGCCCAACATCTGGAGGGGAGGGAGCAGAGCCAAGGTAACTGAGGGTATTTGATCCTGGATGCAACAGTAGCAAAATGTCCTCTCCACTCCACTGCCCAGGGCTTCCTCCCAAAGAAGAAGCGTTTTCAGCATCAAGCAGTTCATTTTTGGTTCTGCTTTTTGAACAAAGAAGTTCACTTTTGGTTTTAGGCCGAAAGTGAAAGCTCAGCCTCTCCCTCTGCAGCCACTCTGAATGGAAAATAAATAACTAAATGGTAAAGCAGGATGGTGTGTGCTGCTGCTGGGGAATGTACAGCCACGATCTCAGGAATCAGATTTGTGCAGCAAGAAGACAAGAAGTCAGCACAGAAAACAGACAGAACTCTAGGAAAGTATTTAATAAATACCAGGGAAAGACAAAGGGTTTAACCTGTATTTCCTGCAGATCAAGGAACAGCATCCGAAACTTTGGATGCATATGTTCAACCCAAAGCATTTTTGGAGCAGTTAATAAAGCCAGCTGGCAGTTCCTCAGCACTGCCCAAGCCTGACAGAGGTCTGAAGGGGCACTGAGCATTCCTGGGAACTGGAGAAGTGAACACAGACTTTTAGAGGCTACTTACAGGTATTCCTCCCCAGTCAGCCACTAATTTTTCCCCCTAGATTGGCCAAACAAGCTATTTAAAAATAATTCCTTTATTCCAGCAGTACTGCTAATTCACTGTAAGTCCTCTGACCACAATTACTAATGCTGCTGTTGGAAATGGTCTTTCAAAGCACATTAAGCTCTGAGTGTTCCCTACAGTACGTGAAAGACACAAAGTGGGGAAGGAACTGTGGGTCTGGAGATGACAGTTATTGCAAAGAGCACCTTCCACACCTGGCATCAAGTTCTAGTGAGACTATTTATGTCTTTGTTAATTAACTCACACATGGGACATTGCTACAGAGAACCTGGAATACCCAACACGTGCATTTCTGTCACCCCACCATGATCTCTGCCACCATTTCCTGCAGGTGAACATCAATCCCGATGCAGAAGGAAGGGATGATCCCTGAGAGAACGTGCCATGCCTTTAACACTTGGAAAAGTGATCTGATAGTCTCATCAAGACAAATTATTTGCAGGATGTGCTTGTGCCAGAAGGTTCTGACCCTAATCCCAGGCCAAACAAGGCAAACCTGGTAGGGCACCTGAATCACCTGGGCAGTGTGGATTGCACAGGGCCCCTCAATGACACGGGAAAGGCGCTTCCAGAACAGCAACACGTGTCCTGATTGTCCCTGCTGAGGGACAGCAGGGTTAGTGCAGGGTCAGCCCAGCAGGGCCAACGACCCCGTGGCCATCCAGGAAGGGGTGGGAGCTGGGCAGTGGGACAGGCACGGGGCACAGCTGGCAGCAGGACACACCAGCACAAGGAACAAGCTGGGGGGAAGGAGCAGCCCCTGCCAGGCTGAGAACGGGCACTCACTCGGGCCCTGAGCCCTCAGAGCAGCCCCAGCCCGTGTTTGTTTGCACACACATCTCACCACCCCAACAGGCACGTGCCCATCCAGCCACGAGGCTCACCAAACTTCATAAAAAAATGTGAAAACCGATGTTTTCAGAACCAAACTACTGAAGTTGGGAAATTAAGGCTATTTCAACCACTTCAGTTAGCTCAGAGGCTGGATTTGAAATGCTGTTATTTCAAACAAGAATTCAATATTCCTGAATGAAAAAGAGCTGCTCCAGCACAAACCAGGAACACTCTGGCTACACAGAGAATCTTCAGGAGTAACTTTCAGGGAACTCTGTTCCCTGCTCTCCCCAGAAACCTCACAGAACCCCCAGGATTACAGTGCAGTGTCATTTTAGTCATATCACCAACACATGGATGAGGTGGGAAAGCATCTTCTGCTGGCAGCCAACCGTTTCTTCAGAGCAAACTCCCGAACTCCTCGAGACCTTCTTTCACACTGTGTCAGCTTACAAAACACAAGGAATTACTTGCTATTCCCCTACTTCTTCTGCAGATGCTTATTTGCCATAAAATTCGATACAGAGCTGTAGGAGGAAGGAAAACCAACCAACACAGTTGTCTTCCCACTGTTTATAAACTCAGCAATTCCACATGAGTTTTCTCCCAACTGTTGATAGCCTGACCTCCCCCTGTATTTCAAAGCTGAGGTTTCTGGGTTTGATATACTACCTCTAAGCAGAGCTTAGTTAAGTGATCTCTCTGTTCACCGTGTCTGAAACACACAGCACAGCACTCGTTTGCTTTCCTGCAGCCCCCACCCTGCAGAGTTTTTAGGTCAACACACTTTGGAGAGGTGCAAGGGCTCAGAACGAGCCAAACCCCAGGACTCACAGAGCAGCTGCTCCACAGCATCCTTTTTACAGTTCCTGGGCTCACTGCACCAGAACACTCCTAGCTGCTGTTTTTCACCCTTGTACTGAGTATCTCCCCTGTTTTTCTCGAGCTACAGCTTCGCTGATAACCCGTGCCTGCTTTTTCCTTGGGCAGTGACACACGGCCTTTATCAAGACAAACACACACCCGAGAGTCAGAAGATTTTGAGAGACCCTCAGTCCACAGGCAGACGCTGTTTTCCCCAAACACCCCGGGAACTCTCCCACGTGCACCGCGGCCGCTTCCAGGGTCCTACAGCGCCTTTCTGCCACAATTTCCCTTCCTCCGAAGCTGCCTCAAAGCCGGGCCGCCACAGCCCGTCCCCGCTCACACGCTCCGCGTTCGCCACCCCAACAGCTCCGCGGCCCTTGGACCGGCGAACCGGCAAACCCGCACCCCGGGCCGGGGCCGAGAGTCAGCCCCGTCCGCCCCGGCCCCGTCCCGCTCCCCCAGCGCCATGGGAGCCGCCTCCGGCCCCGCGCCGCCCGCCCGGCCCGGGCAGGGCACAGAGGGCCCAGCACAAACACCGCCCGTTCCCCTCCGCCCCGCCGGGGCCCTGGAGCGACCGGCCCGGACGTGGGGTGGGGGGCCGGGGCCCCTCGGCCCCGCGAGCCCCCTCAGGCCGTCCCGCCCGCCCCCCCCCGGCCCCGGGCCCGCACCAGTTGGTCATGTCGAGGAAGAAGGCGCAGCCGGCGGGGCTGAGCTGGAAGCCGAGCAGGCGCTGGAACTCGCCGATCAGCACGTCCTTGTCGGTGGTGCCGAGGCAGCTGAACTTCTGCATGAGCTCCGCGTCCAGGTCCACGTCCATGCCCTCCATGGCCGGGGGTCGCGGGGGCTCCGCGGCCGGGCCGGGGCCGCCTCAGCGCCGCGCGCGCGGGGGGGGGCGCGC